CAAAATCAAAATTTAGATGGAGACGAAAATACTTTGCATTGAGTCATTGACTTCACAAGGACGCCTAATAAATCATCTTTAAAATAGAATATATTCTAATTTATACATAAGAGAATTAGGAACAGTTTAAGTCTTAATTTTATTAAATCTGAGTTCGTTTAAATTCGACAATTTAAAGTTCAAAGTTCCGCGTCGTACGTGCATACATACAAATGTATGTATGTACAGTTATGTCACGGAACGTCTGACTAAAGAACCACTATTCTACTTAGAGTTGGTCTGAGGCTTACAAGTCTTGATCTTCTTAGGTTCTCTCTCTCTCTCTCTCTACTATGCAACTGGTGTACACCTGCATACAGATGACTAGACATAAATTTTTGTAGAGATCTGTGCTTTTAAGTTTTAGCAAAGAGCAGTAAGTCCCTTTCTGAACATTTAAAAATTCGCCCAATAAACGAGAGCATCGTAATATTTAATAATTTATTGCTACATTAATAAAAGTCAGGCGATAATAAAATTTAATATTGTTATAAAAAATAACAAGAACAATAAAATCGGGAGGTCAATCGAAAGGACTTCGGAGTGATTTAATATGTTTTTAATCGAACGTAAATCGTTTCTATTTCATGACCAACGGAATTATTACTCGAGAGCATTTGGGAGAATGCTTGTGCTCTCGAAATGGGTTTAACGCGGCGAGGTTTGCGCCGTTGTTTGCGCGAAGAATGCTGCGCTCCCAGACGCTCGTCTTAAGGCTTCCGGAGTTCCATTGACGCTCCCGGGGATTACAGGCTCTTACCGTGAAGGTAGACAGCGGAGAAAATTGGGATCCATAAGGGAGATGAATGGATCTCGAAAAAATAAGGGCTCGGCGATCTTTATGTACAAATAAGAGTAACCGAGTCGCGCTCGCGTTACCCGAATAACTACTTACACTCTTATTTAAAGCGAATTAAAAGAAGTAAAATTATGCACCTTAAAATGATGATAATTGTATTACTCATGTATAACTTACGTACAATATCAAGAATATAATTGATCAAAATATAAAACAAATTGTTAAAAAAACAAATTTCAAATATAAAAAATATGCTTTTATATTCCTGCATTTATATAGAGATTTATACAGAGAATATTACAATAATTCAAATCAGATATTGTTGTCACATATGTAAGAATGCACATGTACATTTGTGATCATTATTATTTTTCTGCTGTTACCATAAACATAGAAAATGAAATTAATTATTATTAACATTCCGGCGATAGTCAATACAAAACGACTAAATTCACAAATCCGACTATTTTAATATAGTATTTTGTTCGCACTGTACATTATTATACTGCACTCGAGTAGCTATACAATGTACGTTAATCATATTCAAAATTGGAATTAATTAATTTCAGAATTGAGTATCGCATTTACGAGAATTGTGTCGATACACTTATTTCACTCCTTCCCCGTTTTTATCCATCCGGAATTGCGCCGCACCCTACCTCGAGATTTTAACGAGATTGAAAACGAAAATAACAGGAATATTTCAAAGCCTCGATTATTTTTAGAGGGAACACCTGCGCTGACTCGAATCGAATTTTCTGTTATGTACTTCGTTTCGCCAATATTTGAACAATTTCGCGTTTATCTCCCGTCGAAACTTTTACATTCTAGACGAGAGCGCGGCACCGTTATTGAAAATGAATTTATCGTGCCATCGTATAAAGAAACGAATCCATTAAAAAGTTCCCGAATTAGTAAAGTTCTCGCAATTTCATTTCGTTCAACGCGGATATTGTATATTCTTTTAGTGATTGTTTAACGAAAATCTGGAATGTATATATACGTACTACTTAATATACTAGTTACGATTTAATCGTCGTTGGACGATCTCGAGTCATCGGTTACCCCAAACTTTCGCCCGATGGTGGAAATCGAGAGTCCCGGGCGTAGCAAGTGAGACCGAGTCAGCGGCTATTGTAATTGCTTTCCATCAGGAAGCTCTAAGCCGAAGTCAAACTGCTTTTGATTAACTCGCGGTCGCTGTACGCCTACTAATGAAGACCCGCCATTATCGTTGCCGGCATATTAACACAGCGAGGTTCTTAGCTGCTTCGGCTAAACATATCGTAACTACCAGCCTATAATGCGCGTGTACGGCTTTGAAACTTGACAACTGTCTCTGCCTCGAACGAGCATTCACCATCACGATATCGCGTACCGTAACCGACGAGGCTCAATTAGCGGATTAAACCGCGCGACGTGACTACCGGAGATACGCGTTGCATGCTCCCGCATAAAACCAAGTATCATGGTATTTGCAAATGGGGGTATGATTGAATTAATTAATCCGTGGAATTTCATTGTTCGTTTCTCGACGTGGTTATCATATAAACGCCGGTGGACTCACCGTTCGATTTCCGAGGTTCTTCACTTTGCATACGAGGTGCACTGGCTTGCCCACGAGTCCGGTGAAGTTCGACTGCATCGTGGTGTCGAAGTGAGGTCCCGTGCCTGGGGTCGGCCATTCCTCCAGAAAGTCGGTGCGGAAATTTCTTACACATGACGCTATACCACCTGGAATTATACATTTAACATCATTGAAGATAAGAAATTAACAGAAATGTTGTATCGTAAAATATAGAAATAATGATTCAGTTCTCATTTGTCTTATTAGACTTATATCACAAAATCTAATTTATCTAAAAATAATAATTTCTCGAAAAATTTCAACATAAATTCTTATAGCTCTTTGCGTCTCATAAGGATAACCCCATTCTCTTAACTTGTCACAACTATGACTGTACTCTTGCCGAACCTAATTAATTTAGCATATTAGAAATCAGAAGGGAAGCCTTAGGTATCTCTTTTGCTTATAAGATAATTATCAATGATTTTATATCTTGCCCTGACTTAATTGTTAAATTGAAAATTAACCTTCTGGTTAAAATCTTGATAAAACAATTTATTGTTTAAATATATTAATAATAAATAAATAAAATCAGAAGGGCATTGCTTCCTAATATTAAATTAAATTATAACATATACACCTAATTAGTATTGAGTGTAGAATAAAATTGCACTTCGTACATTTAATACTATAAGTGTGTCAGGTGAAAGTTGGACGAGGAAAAAACAGGCGGTTTGAAATTGAATAATACCGAGGCTCACTGGCTAGCCATTCGGTTAAGTGATCTCTAGAGGGGTTGTGCAAAGACGACGCCTATGGGGATCTGGGACGCTTTCGAAAGCCGAATGAACTTTTGAAGAAATTAAAATGCGTTTCTAAAAAAAAGTTTGCCCCGGCGAATTGGATCGTTTTAACTCATGGAACGAAGCTTCAGCAAACTTTTGCGCTTTCCATTCCACATTGTTTTATACCACCACGTTGTTCCAATCTTTTTTGTTTAATTTTTTTAGTTGTTTGCGGCCTGCGTGAAACGATTAGATTTTCCACGGATCGAGCAAAAAGTGAGAACAAAAACGAAACAAGAGACGAGATACTAACAATTTGAAACGGAAGCAAACGGAAGCGCGTAAGCAGAAGCGGCCTGTCCTTTGTCCCGTTCTTCGCAAGCGTCCGATTCAATCGGATCTGACTATTTGTTTTTCAAGGGATCTCGAAAATTGCGTCTCTTGTTTAGTTTTTATTTCGACTGCAACCGGTCTTTCCATACTCGCGCGTTACAATTTTCTGTCTGGACGCGGACGCGATCATACGCATGAAACTGTTTCGAATGTCCGCGAATGAAACGCTGAATGCACCTATAACGAGCACCGACCGCATTCGTTGAAAACATTTTTTTCCCCCCCTCTAACCCTCCTCCCTCACCGCCCTTTTTTTCTCTATGACGCTCAATTGTCCGCGCAAATACGCATAATTTCATCTATTTCACCGAACGAACGTCGACGCGCGCTGTTCCGCGACCCTTCTACAAATTTGTTTCGCGAGCATCCGCAAATTGCTGGCTCCGTCGTCGTCGCGATTCATCGATGCTGCAAACAATCAATCGGTTGGTCAAACCCGACAAAAAATTTCCGTCAAACGGCAGCAAATTGTAGAGTAGCAAAAATATTTGTCAAACTATCAAATTTTTATACGTTTTGTAGTTCATTTATAAAATAAAATACGTAGGTATTCAATTTTATATGTATTTATGTGCATACATATTTTATTTTATACCTATGTATTTTATTTTATAAATGATACCTATTATTTTATATTACGTATGTATACATACAGATGTTTTGTTCCATAAATGAGTTGTACATATATTAAAATTTAATAGATTGATAAATATTTTTGTGATCTATATAATTTACTCTTTATGAAGAGGAAAATTCACTGTCGGAAAAACTTAACTAGTCGATTTAACAGTCGATTGTTTGCAGCATCGGTGAATCGCGAGTATCACGCAAATTGTACAAGTATTTATGAAACTATCAAATTATAGTATATTTCTCAGTTCATTTGTCAAATTGAAATACGTAGAGTATTTAGAAATAAAAGTTAGTTTCATCCTGGAGGATTGATTTGCACCATTGACTCGGTTCAGTTTCTTTCAAACTAATTGTAACTTCACTTGAAACTGATCAATGGACGAATGAAAAATCAATGGAAGGAATCGAAAGGAAATTGAAACGGACAATGGGGCTTCGATCGGTCGTGAGGGGACGCGAACGGAATCCATTTGTTTTTCTGTAAAAGAAATGGGAAGGAAAAACAAGCGAGCGTAATCGCGGATTCGATATCCGAAATCCGGTGAAAGGTTCGAAAGCGGAAATCGAGAGGCTCGGGCACGGCCGCGGCGGCGGTGGCAGCATAACGGGTTCAAAGGGAACCTGGACGAGGTTGAAACGTGGACAAGAATGCCACGCGAGACGATCTTTTTCTTCGCGATTGCACTTCAGAATCGTTCGCGTGTGGAGAAGCACTTTCACAGTAGGTGAAATTCTCTTTCGTTAGTTTACGAGACCGTGCTGCTCGTAGACTACGCTTCGGAGCTTTTCATCCCGTCCCACTCCACTGCCTGCGTGAAGTGGTTAAGACGAGTTCACCCTAAGCACCGTCTAAGATACACCCGCGCTTTTCCTCTTCCCAGCCATTGATTCCGCGGAGGGAACACGATACGCGTCTCGTTTCCTTCTCCTTTCTATTTTCCGACGAAATACCAGACTCTTTCATGCAGTCCAAAATACTCATACTACTTATCTACGATAGTTCTCTTATCTAGCAGTTTTTGAAGTATGGAACATTTTAATAAAATAAATTATATATCTTCAATAGAATTGTTGGGTTTTATTAATGAAGAAGATTTTCTATTCTTTTTAAATACTAATTTGACATAAACAGGATGACAGATTGTCTCTAACTCTATGCTTTATACACGAATCGCTAATGTATAATATTATCGATCAAACGAAATTAAAATATTATCGTCGCTAAACAGAATCGCATACCGCGAATTCACGTGCTTTCACGCAGGCACGCAGACATAATAGGATCAATTTTTAATAAAAATGTAATGATGTGTTTAATTCGGCGAACATGAGAGAACGAGAAATATAAATTAAATTGATAAATCCATTTACGAATGGAATTCAAATTTTATTTTTAACTATCACTTAATATGATCTCGTGGTCGACACTACGGTACTTGATGCACATTTTATAGAAGTAAATTCGTCGCAAGTTCCTTTAATAATTAATAGTAGATGTAATTAGGAGAGAAAATGCTAGAACAATAATTTGACAGTGAACAAGTGAATAGCCGGGTTCTGAACAAATTCATTCATTATGCTCCCCTGTACGCTTAATAATTTCGTTAGAGTAAAAAAACAAAGGCGAAAGTTAGCCGTCGGAGGGGGAGGCGAAAGAGTAGGAGAATTAATGAGCTTTATAAACGGGTGGATGCACGCATTCAGCCCGACGTAACTAGTAACTAGTCTCCTGTTGAAAGCGCTTCAACGCGGCGTGGACGGATATCTGCTAGCAGCAACGCTTGCAACTCGTGTACGGGTAACAACTTTTCAAAGTTCGTAGCTTCGTTCGTTCGTTAATCATCGAATAAATAGCTTTCCGATAGGATCGATGAAATTGGAGCTCGACGCGACGCTCTATTAAAAATCACCCGACAGTTTCCCTATACCTAATTGGAGTCAAGAACGCTCGTCCGCGTGAAGAAAATTCCTGCACGTTTTCAAAGGACATCTCATCCCGTTCCCGCGAACTATGTACCATTTCCAGAGTGGGTACTTAGTACAGCTCGTTAGTACAATTTTCATGCAATATTATTACATATAGAAAAGTAAGAACTTAGTGAATGTATAGTTTCTACATTTTATGTATTTATTGAAAAGTTTTATTGACAGTGAATATAAACAATGTTTGCCATATAGGAAAATATAGAAAATGTTAAAACATGAGCGCCTATTGCAATGTTCACATGATAAAGGTCTACGTGTTACAACAGATTTTTTTAACTGATACTGTAAATGTTTTATTTTGCATTAAAATCATTTCTTTCACGTTGCTCATCATATTTATTTATGCTGTATATATTATTTTATCTAATAATGTCGATATTCAATTATTGGTTGATCTACATATTTAAAAAGGGAAGATCTACTTTATTAAAACGCAGTGAATCACCGATTCAAGGAACGTTTTAAGCATTTCCAGAGCGACATCACATGTCCCGAGCTTTTTTTACAAGCTTAATTGGGAGAAATAGTCGTCTTAAAAATATTCCAACCTGCGCGTCTTTTCCAACGACCGATTCGACCAGATCCTCGGTAAACTTTATTCCGCAGCTTCCCAATCGTGATTCGAAGTGGGACGAAGCGGAGACAAAACCGAGGAGACGTGAAAACGATCCTGGCGAATCCATTTCACGCCGGATTTCGTTGGAACGAGTCGCTCTTTCTCAGCTCGTTTGCATTTTCGGTGGCCACGGCTGATATAAACAGAAAATTAGCCACATCGACCAGTCTCTGCCCGTGTTGATTTAATTTCTTATTAATTAACACTGCATAAATAATTTGTTTCTTCTTAAACTTAAATCATATCGGATCCTATATAACACGTAAAAAATCGCAAATGAAGGTAGGATAAATTCGTGTTCCATTTTAGACGCTCTACTACGATCGTGTGTATGCCTTTGGCTCTAAACAAACGGAGACGAGCGTACGATCGCAGATTTGCGCGACAAAAACCCGATGTATGCAGAGACCGTTAGGGAGCAGTGCATCGCGCATCGAGGAATGGATTAGTTTCGTTTGTTTTTTCTTGAACCGAGTAACCGAGAGTTCAAGCAGAGTAGCTTGTACCTGAACGACTTTTTTCTCGTCGGGGGAAAAGGGGTCAGACAAGTTCGCAGTCGAGTATCGGATAATCTATAATTCGACGGACGGGGCCGGAAATTAATTTCGCGCTCGAATCTATCTGGTAATCCATCTTTGTTCATCGCCTCGGACCCTGTCCTTTCGCTCCCGTTTCCGGATCTTTATCGGAACGCTCCGTTCGTGGAAAATAATTAAATGCATGTATATACCTGTATATCTATAATATCCCTGTG